ACGAAGACGGGGATACTAATATCGACGATGATGATGATGGCAGTGAAAGTCTTATGATGGATACAGAAGAGGTACGATGACTTTTTTATGGAATATATCCTATCATTGCGCGACAATCTATAATTATATTGAAATAAACGTGCGATATTAATTTATACAGCCAGGTTATGATAGTGGATGCACTGCAGTAGTTGCAGTTTTAAAGGGCAATGAATTGTACGTAGCAAATGCTGGAGATTCTCGTTGCGTATTATGCAGAGATGGTCACGCTATAGAGCTTAGTTTAGATCACAAGCCTGAAGATAAACCAGAAATGGAGCGTATAGTAAAAGCTGGTGGGAAAGTAACAGCTGATGGTAGAGTAAATGGTGGTCTTAATTTGTCAAGGGCACTTGGAGACCATGCTTACAAACAAAATGTTGATTTACCACCGCAAGAGCAAATGATTTCCGCACTTCCTGATGTGAGGCATATCACAATCGAACCAGAAAAAGATGAATTTATGGTACTTGCTTGTGATGGTATTTGGAATTTTATGTCAAGTCAAGACGTTGTACAATTTATTCGTACTCATTTGGCACAAAATTATGAAAAATTGTCAAAAATCTGTGAAGAGGTAATAAAATATTACTCGATTCTTTTTCTATGTTTTTGTTTGAAATGCATATTATATTCACTAATAAAAATATTTCATTTTAGTTATTTGACTATTGTCTTGCACCTGATACTTGTGGAGATGGTACAGGGTGCGATAATATGACAGCTGTAATAGTTCGATTTAAGTCATCGGCTGATGCTGTAACGAATAGTACTGTTGCCGAAGTACATACTGTTAAAAGATCAGTATCACCACCTGTAACCACAGAAGAAAATATTATACAGGAAGACACAACGAAATCTTGTAAACGTCTCAAAACTGAAACGACTATGTGAGAAACGTGTTAAATATGTACTATGAACTGTTATAATCTCTGGAAACAGATGAGTAAATGTGAATTTATGTAAAATTATGTAATTCTATAGAACTGTGAATTTTGAGCGGATACTCAATGATGATCGATACCAGTTACTTCAAATATCATGTAAAGTATATTAGTACTGGCTATTGGTGGCAGACTGATCAATTGGAGCATATGAGGATGATATTTTATTACTAACATTTTAGAAATTAATTTAATAGAAACAAACTGATACTGTTCTTTTTCCTTAATTTGAAAACAATTAATTTTTAAAACTGTTTCGCTATATCTTGCTGAAATTTTCTTTTTGCTGAAAAATGTATTATACGTTCTAACGTTTTGATAATGTCATGTACAAAGTATATAAGACAGTCTTATAAACATTCTGTACAATTGACGAAATAATAAATATTTCACTCTACAAGTACTTTTTATAATAATGATAAGATAGATGGTAAGTATAAATAAATATAAATAAAATCACTCTAAAATCATTTATTAAGTCGAAAGCCTTGTAAGATTTTACAAATAATATAAGACATCGTATTAATTAAAAATTAAAAATAAATTTTTCAAATGACTTTCAATATTCTGAAGGATCTTGACAGTTTTCATCTTTCTATAAAACAAAATTGAATTACATACATCATCCCATTTGCTCCATTAAAATCTATGAAATATACTCTTTGAATTTTTAGATATCCATAGTGGATATGTAATTGTATATATTTATAAATTTAGACTATAGGGTTTATACTTGTAATTCAACACGATACCATTTCTTATTTTTACGAAATAAAGTTTATTTTTGAATCCCTGGGTATAGTGGTTGAATGGATGGGTGTGCGAGTAGTCTCAAAATGTGTAAACTATATTGCGTAATTACATCAGTTGCATATTACGCATCGCTAATTTGTGATCTTACACTAAAATTATTGTTAAAAGGGTATGTATTATGTTATGGAATACTGTCTACTTAAAATGTTTGACATTTTTTTTTTAATATCTGACAGCAATTTATAATGACATAAAAATAATATTTTAAAAAAAGAACAATAAAACTATAGATTAAATTTAAACATAAAAACATTTTAGAAATTAATGGGATATGTATTAAAAACAATTTAATTTATCATAAGAAATATGTAAAAAGTGAAAATGAAAAAAATATTTAAATTATTTATATGTTTTTAAGAAATATATACTTTATTTTAATGCAAATTATTGAATTCTTTTTCTATGTAGTTACAGTACATAAGAATATTTTTAACAACTAAACTGTAGAAACACAACTTTATAAGTTTTTTTATCTTACAATCATAATTTCATTATATCACTATTTTCACCATAACATGAACATACGTTAGAAACAACGATCGGCTATTCACGAAACAAAGTTTATATTCGATAAACTATTAATATAGATGTTAGATAAATAATTAATATAAATTGATCATCTGCGGTGTATTTAAGATTGCTTTAAGTTTTATATTGTAATACATCATTTGCAACTGCTCATATGTAAATGCGGCTGTTAGCAGGCAGTAATTATATAACAGTTCACACGATTAAAGAAAGAAAAGCAATCGTAATTTTTATTGGAAAGAACAAGTAATGTTATTGTCCAAATAATTAGTAGTATATTAGAGACAGTATGTAGGATGATTCAGAATTAACTAATGTGCCTTTCTGATTCAGGGGTTGAAAACCTTCAAAGCAAGTGTGTATATTTGATGCCGTCTTATGAAGAAGGGTTTAAACCCCAATACCGTCTTAACTGCAAACTTCGTCATGAACTTATGTATAAATATCTTGTTTCATAATATATGTCGCTCTAACTATCATCAGTCATTTCATTTATTCTCCTTATTCTTGTTTACGTTGTTTAAATTTTGACACAAGCAAAGTACGGACTTGGTTGAATTAAGTATCAATTCTCGTTACAAAATCAGCGTTTTTTTCTTTAATTCACTGTTAATTGTTCAATAGTTTCTAACTGTTCCATTTCAATCTTCTTTAGCGAATCATACTGTATACGAAGTCTCTCAAGTTCCATAGATTTTTCAATGATCTGCGCCTGGAATTTGATACAGAAATGTTTTCAAATTGGTTTACATCCATTCAGATACATAAATTTACATAATCTTACAAACAGATAAAATAATTTATTTCACTTAATTATACACGACAAATAATCGCGATCATTGAACCATGAAATATTTTAATTTTTAAACGACCTGAATTTGTTGTTTCTGAGCATCCCTTTCTTTCGCGACAGAACGAAGCAAGTTCCGAGTTCCAATAGTTTTCATCTTTTCTTTTTCCACTTCATTTGCCAATTGATCAATTAGCTGTATAAATTCGTCGGAATTCGTTTGAAATTCCATAATCTCTGGAAAATAAAGGACAGTATCAAGTGAAAGAGAAGAACGCGCTTGTGTGATAACAATAAGGAAATAAACAAATGTGTTTAATTTAATAATTAATTATATATATCGAATTTCTCGTTGTTCTAGCAAATGGTGCTTTTAAAATACCGATCAAAAACATATCCGAAGGCGGCAATATAGATGGCAGCAATTACTATAGGGAAGAATGTACGGGCAGTTGTTTTGCACAAGAGAGCATAGTTAACAATCACTAAATGCACAAGCGATAGAAAAAATAACGGGGTGAATTGACTGAAAAGTCTTTAATCTCTTCGTTCGAATCGTATATACGTATATGAGAAGGGTAAGTGTATATTTTGTGCAATTGTGACTATTTCTACGAGACTCACTCGAAATGAAATTCTGACATTCCTCTTTGAGCTTATTCGTCTGATTCGCAACCTCAGGTTCCAATACGCGAATCTTGCTCAAGTCGTCAATATAAATTCCATGCTTTGCCAAAGGGTCAGCCATTTTCTTAAATAAACAAACGATCAACTCTTTGACAACTGCGCCTGCGCATGTCAAGCACTAGTCTTCGTTTCTTCATATCTAGTACTAGTCACTGGCCAAAATGGGAATGCGATAGGGTATATGTTTCTTTTTTTTTTTTTTGCCGAGTCGTAAAACACGAAATAATAGTGAATCGTGTTTTATTCAACAAGATTTTAATGTTTAAGATGAGATCAATAAATGCCACGTAAAACATCTTTGCATTGGTTATAGTTCGTCGTTGCGTTAGCGCCCGAGAGACGCAACGCTTTATTCTTTCTCTGTTGTATTTTACATTTAGCATTTAAAAAATCGGATCCAATTCGTTCGTTAACCTTCAACAATCTGTTGCGTCGTCATTGTTGTTCGTTATGTCCGGAAATCACAAAGCAGGAATTAAATATCCTTCTGAATATGTGAAGCTCAATATCGGCGGTTCTTTGCACTATACCACTTTAGGGACACTCCAAAAACATGACACTATGTTACGTGCTATGTTTAGTGGCCGCATGGAAATTCTTAGAGATCCCGAAGGTGACATTTTACATTATTGTTAAAGTTCAACGTGTTAGTGACACTACATTCTGCTCTTTTCGCATCGATGTTCTTAAAAATTTGTTAAAATTCATATTTAAAGTCCTGCGAATCATAGTTGCACTTGTGAAAATCTCATTTAGTGTCTCTCACTTGCATGCACATCATTAGAAATATAATTACTGTTTTACCGTTTGCTTAAAAGATATGGTTTTCAGGGTGGATATTGATAGACAGGTGTGGAAAGCATTTCGGAACAATCTTAAATTTCTTAAGGGACGGTTCAGTTCCGTTACCAGAAAGCACCAGAGAAATGGCAGAATTACTTGCGGAAGCAAAATATTATTGCATTACTGAATTAGCTCAATCCTGTGAACAAGCTCTTCTTCGAAAGGAGAGGGAAGCAGAACCAATTTGTAGAATTCCACTTATCACTTCTCCGAAAGAAGAACAATTACTAATTAACAGTACTACTAAACCAGTAGTAAAGTTGCTTGTTAATAGGCATAATAACAAATATTCATATACAAGGTGATAATACCTGCTTCTTAGAAATTGCAATATGCAATGAAACAAAGAATGAATAAATATAAAAAGCCTTGTCTTTACAGTACATCAGATGACAATCTCTTAAAAAACATAGAATTATTCGACAAAATGTCCCTTAGATTCGGTCGTAGAGTATTATTTATTAAAGATGTGATTGGCTCCAGTGAAATTTGCTGTTGGACATTTTATGGTCATGGTCGTAAAGTTGCAGAAGTTTGTTGCCACTCTATCGTTTATGCAACTGACAAGAAACACACGAAGGTAATATCAAATGTATACATACATTGTATATATTTATGATTTTGAAGTTATGTAATATGTAACATGAAATAACATCCTTATAACCATAAAGAGAGCAAAATAAAGATTTAATTTATAATACATAGGTTGAGTTTCCAGAGGCTAGAATTTATGAAGAAACATTAAATATTTTGTTATATGAACATCGAAATGGTCCTGATCAAGAATTAATGCAAGCAACGTCATCGCGTGGTGCAGTCAGTGGTGCACCACCTTGTACATCAGATGAAGAAGAGGGTGAGCGTTCAGGCTTGGCTCGCCTTCGCTCCAACAAACAAAACACCAACTGACCCAACCTTACCCCTTTTACCCCTCCCAATCCAGCGACTCTCAGCGTCGTTCGAGTCCTCGCTCTTAAAACGCGAGCCAATACGAAGTAAGACGTGTGAAAAGGAAGACATAAACAAAATTTTATATATACATGCATATATATATATATATATATATA